CGGGGATATCGTATACGTATACAAATACCCCCATCTCTACTTGTAAGTGTAAAATGCCCATCATTATACTACCTTTATTTGAACCTTTATGTGAACATTGTAGAGAAAAATGATGTGTTTAAGAAAGAAATTGATGTCATTGTTCTGGTCTCCTGTATGTTTTTTATTCTTCAAAAGTTTCAGTATTTCCATTTTTAACCCTCCACCCCACCCGGTGGTATGTGAGCCTCCTCTGTTCCAGAATAAATACATGTCAGTCGAATAGGTTAAAATGGAATAGGATTTATTAAACCAAGGAAGGAAGGAACTACAACAGAGTTGTTTTTGTGCCACTTATCACCACTGACACAAGTCCTTTCAACACTGTCTCTTATCCCCGTTTGTTTCACAGGAGAAATCCCATATCTGTAAAGTGTTTGGTTCTCTCCACCGGTCCTTGGGAAGTAAGAGTTGGAAAAGTTCTGAGGCTTGAATTACCTTCTCTTCTACCTGCTCATACGAGGAGGGGGACAGTATGTCCACAAGGTGGAACAGCTAGAAAGACAGACTTCTGACTGAGTACCAGACTAATCTCATTTCCTGGGGTTTGATGTCTCCGCTTTCTTCCCTTCTTTCACAAGTGTTGACTTGGGGCAAGACCTGGTTTTCCCATCTTCCTTCCCTCTTCAGATCTCTCTCCCTCCAATATGAAGGACTATAGGAGCCCCATAGTTTTTATATTTCTCTCCTCCCTTGGGGACCTTCAATTAAACTAATATCCCTTCCAAGGATCATCTTTATAAATACGTATAGTTGCAGTCTCCTGGAGGTTCTGGCTCTTCAGACAGGGAATCTTCTGCCCAATAAGTCCATGACCAGTTCTCCCGATCATCATCTCATTCTTCTCATATATCATCTTCTGCCTGTGTTTCTCTTCTCACATCTGCTTCCTTTCTCCCAGACCCTACCTGTCCCTCCAGATAGTCACCCTTTTCCCCTTCTGAGGCTCCTTGACTTTAATCCTTTTTCACTTGATTCAGCTTCTCATATTTTTCCTACTTGTCCAGGGGCTTCCTTCTCTTCCTCTCACCTCCCTCCTCCTCCTCTAGCAGCAAGACAGCCTTTATATCTCCCATGCCATGAGTCTAATAGTCCCTTCCTCTTTCTTCCAGGGGTGCCTCCTACTGCTATTGCAGTCGTTACCCCCATAGGCCTTTGTTTGTGTCTCTAGACCTTCATTGGAATGACATGTTCCTTTTTGTTGCCCTGTGCTGAAGTCCTGCAGTCTGCGACCTGGAAGTTTGGCCCCATCATCTGGATTTTGCACTGGAGCTCAACAGACTGTCATCTCTGTCCCTGATCCCATTATACCATTCCAGGTCTTGTGTCATGAGTCCCTGAGTTCTGTCTCACTTCTTCTGAAGTCTGGCACTAGAGAGACTTCGCTACCTCTTACTCACTAGCTAACAGCCAAATGAAGATTGCTTACCCTGCTGCTTCCCTTGACACCCAGCAGAGGGTGATGATGTATCCTGGAGTCACATTATGTTTGATGAGTTCTTCCAAAAAGCCATATCATTACATGATCCACATTATCCCAAATCTGATACGCAGCTATTCAAGACGTTGAAAGACTAAGCAATTTCTGTGGTGGTTCGAAGTATTTTATTGCAAACCGAAAAGTTAGAAAAAATAATAGTAAAGCGGTCAAGTGCAAAACTTAGCCACATGTTAGGGATTCAACTCCACCAAGCCCTTTTCCCATTAGAGAAAGAAAACAACTTTTTTTTTCCAAAACGAGAGCCATGTTGATGCTGTTAGGTGCACAAAGTAATACAGCCGTAGTCAGCAGCATTTCACTTTGATGCATTTTTCCCCTCAATATATAAAAATAAATCTCCGATACTTGTTAGACAGAAGCAAATTTAGTGGGTCCCCATTTAACAAAGACCTGTGTTAAGAGAGGTAAACACAAGGATGAGAGCATTTAAGAGATTGCATCAGGGAGAACACTGTCATCGTAATTGGAACCTGCAGAAAACTGAGAAATGCACCTTCAAGGAATTACTGTCTTTCAAATCAGCATGCAGAATTTATATTCGACCTCTCTCAGACCCTTTCTGTCAGTTTGTTATCCTTTTGGGATCTCCAGGTCACAAGGTTGCATTTTAAGTACAAACCACCACTGACAGGACACAGTTGTCATGGTCGAGACCAGGATAGCAGGCTGGCTAGCTGTGTGAGTCAGAGCACCCAGCTTACAGAGCCAAAGGTCAGGAGGCTGACTCACCACCATACCTCTAGGAGAAAAGCCAGCCAGAGGCAAGCACACACTCATGTCCTCCCCGAAGAAGGGCCTGGGAAACCACTTCTTACTGTGGCCCTACAAAACCCTGGAAGAGGTTGCCATGAGTTGCAGTCGACTTGACAGCATGTAAAAGAAAGGGCCACAATAAGGAATCATTGTCATAGGAAGGAATGGATTTCTCCCCTCTCCCCCCTACTTTCACCATACCAAGTCCTATCACCCCTGAAGGATGATAGGGGTGGTGCCGTATCCCCTGAAGTCACCTCATATGTGCCCACACTACTGGCTGAAGTCCATGTAGTTGTCTCTTTAGTTGAGCCAAGGAAACTTTGCATTCAGCACAACCAGATCCTTAACAGAGGTGCTCGTTGGAGAACACTGGGCCAGCTTTGCCCCATGTCTTGCTGAAGAGATTACAGGACAAGTGAAGGATGTGACAAGCCACCGTTGCTTTTCAACCAAGGATTGGTAAACTATATTTGTATTTTCCGTTCCACAAACTCATCTTTGGCCCTGTGTCTGTCTGTCTGTCTGTCTGTCTCACACACAGACACACCACTTGGCATCAGGCAAACTCTTTCTAAAAAAAATTCTGCAGCCTTTTACTTCAGCCGTTTTACTTGGTTTTACTTGACTCTTCACAGGTTGTATTTTTGTGCTGCTTAGTTTATTCTTGTTTACCAAAAGAAAAAGAAAAAAGCCCTCCCTTTGAACAAAGAGAAGGTGAGAGAGAAGAGACAGACTAGGTAGACATTGGTAAAGGTTCCCCTTGACATTTAGTCTAGTTATGTCTGACTCTACGGCGCTTTGCTCATCCCTGTTTCCAAGTCATAGAGCCAGCGTTTGTCCGAAGACAGTTTTCATGGTCACATGGCCAGCGCAACTAGACACGGAACACCATTACCAGCATGGTGGTACCTATTTATCTACTCTCATTTGCATGCTTTCGAACCGCTAGGTTGGCAGGAGCTGGGACAAGTCACAGGAGCTCACTCAGTTGCGTGGATTCGATCTTACGACTGCTGGTCTTCTGACCTTGCAACACAGAGGCTTCTGCGGTTTAACCCAGAGTGCCACCACATCCCTCTGACATCAGTACTTGAAGGTTAATAATACTGTTGAGTGGTAACTTTGTAAGACTAGAACAAAGAACACACAACCACAGATTCTTCTGTGTCCTGGCTTGGAAAGCTCTGACCCATTTGCTTCTGCTCCCTAGCCTCATTCTCCTCTCTGCCGAAGGCATTGGCAAGCGGCATCCACTATGGTGCTCCTAAGCATCCTGGGAGGATGGAGATTGGCCAGTGGATGGCTCTTGGACCAGAGTCAGAAGGAAGTGGTTCCTCTAGATCAGTGGTTCTTAACGTGGGCGATAATGCCCCCCAGGGGGCGATTTTATT